AGTTTAGATGAATAAACTACGCTTGCAAATTTACCTTCTTCATTTGTTATTCTGATACTAAGATAATGGTGATTCTTCCCTTGTTTCCGTCCAAGACTTGTAGCATGTTTGGTTGAGCTTATAACTTATAAGTACTAAATAAGCTTAGCTAAACATACTCTTAAATATATAAATAGACCTGTTGAAATACACACGCAGACATATGGAGAAGATAAATTTTGTAAGCTTGGAAATTTGAAAAATGTACAATAGAAATTAATAGATGTACGAGGAGCTTGCTAGTCGCTAGAAAAAGAAGAACTAATTAACAAAATTTAACACTACATATGAGGATAATGTCTATTCCTTTTGCTTAGGCTACAAAAAGAAACCTGATATACACATACATGCTGTTAAAAATGTTTTTGAGGCAAGGTGAAGCAAAAATAATTAAGAAAGCAATTTCTACATTTTTTTTTAATCTTCACAGTAAACCTTCGTGATTTAAAAACGAGAAAATATTGGATCCACCAAGATTTTCCCTTTGAAGAAAACAAAAACTGAATATCTGTGCTACATGTGAAAATTTAGAAAGAACAAAAAATAAATTAATTAACAACAAAAACTACCCTAAAATAAAAAGAATATTGCTATGTGTATATAGCAATACACATAAGGGTGTACATAATATGAGAGGGGTGGGGTCCGCGCTATTATGTATATCCCTATGTACCATGCTATGTACACATAGCATGGTCCAAATAAAAAATAGAAATCCTTAGTTTTATCAAGTTTATCTCTTCACTACAAATCAATCTTTTCATAGATCTAAAACATAAAGAACAATTTATCCAACAAAAATTCAACTTAATTAGAAAAAATACTAACAAGAATAAAAACTAAGAAATAACCTTCAAAAATAATCACCAAATATCAAATCTTCGCCGATTCAAACAATTAACGACAAAATTTGATCCAATATTAAAATTAAACTCAGAAATCAAAAGTCAAATCCTACATTCTTACAAATATATTATATAAATGGTGAAAGTACTTACACAAGGACACGTATAAATGTACCACTGATTGACTTATCTCAACAGGAAAAAACACTTCGACTCCTCTTTACAATGTACACTACAAAAATAATATGATCAAAATAAGGTTGTGAAAACAGTTGAAAGAAAATTGCATCAATTGAGTGGCTATGATCACCAAGGGACAGTAAACAGAGAATTGAAAATATTTGTAAAATGAGAAGAGCAGAAAACCTTAAACAAAAAACAATATTTCCATCCCCCCATTCTCAAATCAGGGAAAACCTCTCAAACCAATACTTGCATTTCATAAGTGAACACACCAACGTGTTCATAATTTCATTAGTCACCACCAGAATCAGTGGGCAATTTGCGTAGAGAAACAATTTCTTAACTTGAAAAAATGACAAACTTCAAGCTACCAATCACATAAATGCAACCCAAGTCCAAGAAACAAAAATCAAAGTTAACATAGGATAAGAACACCCTTCGAATTCTTTTAACAAACACTTCATCTACAACCTTCAAATTTATAAAACCGTACAACAAACGGGCTAAAAAAGAAAATCAAATTGCTTACCTTTTATTAAAGATTCAAAAAGTTTTTTCACTTTGGTTGAATCTTTATGGTTTGACCAAGGATATAAATTGGAGAGCAAGTGACACCAAATCTTAACCCAAAAAGCCGAAGTGATTGTTGGGTTTGTTATGTAATGGCCATACCGCTGTGAGGATGCGGGGACACAGTAGGTAAAGGAGATGGAGCATGTCGGTATAAGTCTGATGTCGACGATTAGGGGAAGACAGTCGTCTTCTTCAGGGCCGATGTGGGTGTCACCGCGACGGCAACGGCTGCTACAGGAACGAAAACCCTTGCCTTTTGAAAAGAAACAAAAGGGAGAGACTGAATCTTGTGGAAGGAGCAAAAATGAAGCCCCGTTTTTTTAACCCAATTGAGACTTTCGATCGGTTGTAGGGAACGGCTCGGCTTCAAGGAACGACTGGAAAGAGCCGTGAAGCCACGGGCTTGTGAACAGTAACTCCAAAAGTGCCTCTTTTATATTTGTTAGAATTTAAAGTAGTAACGTATTAAAGATTGCATTTTTGGGTTGACCGCTCTGCAAAACAAGGAAAATGCTATTTGTACAATCGAGGTTGACAACATCAGTTGACAAACACTCACGTGGTAGGGGTCCACCTCGATTTCAAAATGTTAAATAAATCGTGGACGCTCCATGTTAGTCAACTTCGATTGTACAACTAGCATGGTCGAGCAAAACAAAGCGAAAGTCTTCTCCTTCTTCACACCTTTCAAACTATTTTTCTTGCTTTTTTAGACGCTCTATGGAGATGGGAAGATTCTAGGGTTTTGCAGCAATCCAAAAGTTCAAACGAGGTCAATTTTTTCCAATCTTTTTCTTTATCATTAATTTTAAACCTCTTGTACTTTTACCCTCTCTTTTTTAGTTGATAAAATTGTTGTCTGCCATTTGAATTTATCTGAAATTTTCTTGTTTTTGATTGATTTTCATATGCGCAGTTCAACCTCATGATCTTTCCTTTGCTTGAATATCTTTTGATTTTTGTAAAAGAAGCTTTTTGGTAAATATGTATTTTTCCTCGAAAGGGGGTTTTAACTAAGTATTTGATTTTTCAGCTTTTGCTCTTTCTGGATAATTGAAAATCTATTGAATCAGTAGTTATGAAGAATTCTCTTTTTCACCTCTCGAGGTGCTCTTAAATTTGGGAATTAGGTTTATTTGGAATTAGGGTATGAGATGGAGGGGATTGAAGAAGCAAATAGTGCCGCTGTAGAGAGTTCTCACAGAGTGCTTAGTCTTGTATCATATCCCGAAGGTGAGCATCAGTTAAGGAGTTTAGTTGAATAAACAGGGGAGGCAATACACAAGTTTAAGAAAGTTGTTACTCTTCTTAATTCTAGTTGTGGTCATGCTAGAGTCAGAACATCGAAGAAAATTCAATCCCCTTTCACTCAAAACCTCTTTCTTGAAAACCCAATCTGTCGAACAGATGATCAGCCAAAACCCCTTCATCTCCTTCAAACCAATTTTGTCGTAAACCACCCAATTCAAGAAAGGGGATCCAATGTCAAGAGTGATCTCACATTGGGGAACTATTCTTTGGAATTGAGCTCACACAGCAAGAATCCTCTTCAACAATCCCAGCAATCAGCAATTCAAAATTATCATTTTCCTGAAGAGCAGCTGCAGTGTCAACAGCAAAGGTACCAACAGTGGTTGAAACAGCTGGCTGAACTGATGTATTGTCGTATTAATAGTGGCAATAGTCTGAATTTCGATAGGTCTACCTGTACTCCTACCATGTCGTCCACAAGGTCTTTTTTCTCTTCCTTGAGCATAGATGGAAGTGTTGCTAATTTGAACGGAAATGCCTTCCATTTAGTTGGGGCAGCTCGATCTGCTGATCAGAATTCATACCAACATAAGAGAAGGTGTTCTGGAAGGGGAGAGGATGGAAGTGGGAAATGTGGAAGTAGTGGTCGATGCCACTGCTCAAAGAAGAGGTGGTTATTTCTAGCCTTTATTATCAGGTATTATCATTGGAGTTATTTATACTGCTATTCTTTACCGTTTTCCCCCTAATTATACAGGAAGCATCGGGTGAAAAGATCAATCGAAGTACCTTCCATAAGCAACAAGTTAGCTGACATACCCCCTGACGAGTATTCACGGAGGAAGTATGGACAGAAGCCCATCAAAGGTTCTCCTCACCCAAGGTATTGTTCCGCACCTACTCCAAGTGAGGCAGCTTGGTTCGAATTTGCAAAAATTTACTTGCCGGATATTCATTTCTGGTTATTAGCTTATATGGAGTTCTCAATCTTGCATTTTGACGGTTAGCCTCTATCATTGTTTTAATATATGATATTTTGTTATCGTTCTATTGCACAGTGCTAGTTATTTTCTTATGCTTTGTGAAGAAATTTAATAGACTCACTACCGAGCAGCAGGATTTGCTGTCTTATGGGCTAGTTTCGCTATCGTCGATATTTCTTTTCGTTGAAGGGGGTGGGTAGGTTTCCACGATGAAAATATCACATTCGATGAAGAATTGTGTCAAATATCACATTATGTAATAACTAGCACGCATTGCTCCTAAGTTCCTAACCTAAAGTTGGAACATGGAAGTACATTCTTGTATTAGATGGTCCTACCCGTTGAAGCATGACTTAGTAGTTTCATGGTTTTGCTGGGTCTAGTTCTGCATTTTTGCAGGGCATACTACAAATGTAGTAGCATGAGAGGCTGTCCGGCGAGGAAACATGTCGAGAAATGCTTGGATGATCCTTCAATGCTGATTGTTACTTACGAAGGTGAACATAACCACCCTAAGTTTCCATCACAGTCTGCCAACATTTGAAATCTTGGGGAAAGATTTTCAGAGAGCGCATCAAGCTGCCTTTGAAATTATTTCTTACATATCCTTTCGACCGGCTAGAATTGCTCCTCTACTTGTTTACTTGGTTTAAGCTCGTGGTACATATGGGGTTGGATTCTGTTTCTGCATGTTTTTTTGACTCCTCCTAAATGTTGTCAAGACAAAAACAAAATCCAGAATAGAAGAGTTATTTGGATGTTGAGGATGACTCATTGTACAAAAAAATTTCCCTCACTTAAATCGACTTATTTTTCAAGAATTTCGACTTACCTGCTGGTTCCCTTGTGTTTCGACTCTTTACATTTTTTATCTGTTTTGTTTACTGATGCATTTTGGTGATTTTGACTGATCTAGTATTGCTTATGAGTATTGCTGTAAAAAGGAAGAAATGAGGCAGCTCTGGAGAAGGTTTGTCTAAGAAATGTTGTGATTGTTGTGTTAATAAGAATCATAGAGTATGTTGGGATGAAATTGGAAAACTGATCTTAACTCTGGTCCGCTATGTTCTTGTATAGTCCATCTCAAATCGAGAAAGACTCAAGTTGCTGTGCATAAAATAAATCTTGTGACATGAAATAATGCATTGTATCTATTTATAATTTTAAATCGATTACAAACGATTTCCAAACATTGCTTTTAATACACTGGATGGTGGTTTTTGAATGAAATAGAAGAAATAGGAGGTGATGAGTAATTGAACACATCTACGCACTACGTGTCTGTTTAGTCCTCATTTTTTCAGAGTTCTATTTTTTTTTTTTTTATGAAACTTAATTTTAATTACATATTTTATTGAAATCCATAATTTTTATCAACTTTTTAATCACATATTTCATCAAATTTTATCGAAAATTACTAATTTTTATTTTTATTTTTAGCTAAACCAAAATAGGGGCATGCATGTCTTTGACAATAATATCGGCCGTGTCAACATCTTGAGTAATACTCAGGGATTGCATCATTCTTATGAGCAAATGATAAAATCACGAATATTTTATCGTGTGTGGGTCTCCCTCCATGTGAGGGGGGTGTAATACATTATGTAATGGATTGTGTACATTTAGACGAATCCATGATGAAAAAGAGCATCCAGATCAGTGCTTCGAGAGTAGCTATTTTTTGCTTTTTTGGCATTCGAGATAATTCATAACAATATATTTTTCTGTTTAAGCTTTAAAAATATGAGTAGATGCAATCATTGTTCACTATTATGGTTCAAGTGGTAGTAGTGTGAGTCTTAATCAGACTTGTGATGATAAAAAACTTCGACGGTGTTTTCAACGTAGTTATTTGTCTTCAGTCTTTGCTTTGACACTCAAAATTCCCCACATTTTAATTTGGTAGCACTTGAGTTATTAGTAGACAAGTCGAGATTTGTTATTATGAACTTCTTGTCCCTTGACCGTCCCAAATACATTATTGTTATATCGATACATTACCTCTTAGTAAATTGGAAGATGTCAAGTATCAAACAATGTATTAGTGTCTTTCTATTTATTAAGAAGATATAACGAGTCAAAATGTTAAAAAGATATTGAAGGTGTACTACGAAAATAATATATCTAAACGTAAGTTGGTTAGATCGAAGAAAATAAGCAAAAGTTGACAAATTTGGAGAAATTGCTAAATTGTAAGGGATCCAAAGTTCGGGGACTAAAATGTAAATACTTAAAAGTTGTGCCGAACCTCACGATGAAGATTTGAGAGTGCTCGGAGTCAATTGGATAAAGGAAGACGTCAATGGAATCAAATTTAGTCAAAAGATGATCACAAATCAATTTCCAACCGAAAAGTTATGCTCCAATGTTTTAGTCTCATATTGAGACCTATTTTTGGCATAGAAAGTGATCGAATTGGAGAATGATGTCTGAATCAAAGTTGTAGCCAGATGAGTTAGCTTTCCAACGCATTTTGAATCGCCTCAATCGGATATCGGAATACAAAGTTATGATAAAAACACTGAAAGAAAGTGCAGCTGCCTGTTTAAAATAAGAAATTCTGTTACATAGTCTGTTATATTGAGACATATTTTTGGCATAGAAAGTGATCGAATTAGAGAATGATGTCTGAATCAAAATTGTAGCTAGATGGGTTAGCTTTCCAACGCATTTTGAATTGCCTCAATCGGATATCGGAATACAAAGTTATGATAAAAACACTGAAGGAAGTTGCAACTGCCTGTTTAAAACAAGAAATTCCGTTACATAGTCCGTTAAAACAACAAATTCTATTAGTTTTTCCGTTAAAAACAAGAAATTCCGTTATATAGCCACTTTTAATAAATAGAAGATATATCAAGTGGGCAATGCTCCAATTCGATACACTTCTGTAATGGGTTGGGTAATTAGCACGAAACATCATTATCATTTGCCTTTATTATGCGAAATTGTCCCTATCATTTTACTTTTGACATTGAACACTCATATCAACCATTATTTGTGCAAAAGATCATATTTGTCACCTATCATCCATGTGCTTGCTCTGCAAATAACATGAAAAAAATGAACTTTTTTGCTACAATGATCACGAGAGTTAAGAAATGGTACTCGAGTATAGTGTTGTATTGAGATGTGCGTGATTAGGAATAGCTAGTTTTTGTTGCATGAAAGTGTTTTTTTGATTGAGATGATACATTTCCTTTGCTCGAAGTAGTTATGATTTGCTTTCGCCATTTTTTTATTTTTCCTCTCTCCTTGAAGGAGAGAACTTCGTTTTAGTTAAGCAATTAGATTATTAGTGGCATTCTTCAACTTTTGAAGACACAGCTCTCAAAATAATTAGGAAAAAGCTCGCCATTAAAAGACATCATAAAACCCCTATTTGTCTCCCTTTAAAACAAAGGATCATGCTATTGTGTAAAAAATGACATCCAGAAAGTGTGCCTACCAGAAAATGATGTTTAGTGAAATGATTAATTAAAAAAGTTGATTGTATTTTAAATTGTTCAATGAAATACTATTTAGTGAAATGATTCATTTTCAACCATACATTCACACAAGAGGTGATAGTAGGTGCGTTCATGGGCTTCGGGCTCTAAGAGTTCTATGAAATTCGGGATTCTATACTTTTCCTTAATTTCGGCCAACTTTGTGGAGGTCATTGCAGAGGGGATTCTTGCAGCCCCCCACCTCGCCTCATAATCAATAGGGCCTTCACTCATTGCCTAGTAAACTCCGTCCAATCCCCCAGACGTAACTTGTTCCCCAACCCTGGTAACCCTTTCACCGCCAGCACTCGACCCAAAAGCCATTAAAATCGAAAAAACAAAAAATGGAAAGGATGGGAAAAAAGAAAGTTTCAAGGAAATTGCCTAAACAAAATGAAACTCTAGGAATGTGACATTGCCAAAGAACATAAATGACCGGAATTTTTTTTCGATTGCTAGATAAATTTGGAAGACTTTTGCAAAGGTAAAAAGCTAATACAAGGATCATGACTGTGGCTTTTATAGGAATAAATGACGAAGCTCAGCCATTGGATTTAGATCTACTTCTGAAGCATCCGTTTTTAACTTCATTTGAGGTGTTGAATTTAAACAGTTTTTGTTATTAATGCCTGAGATTGATGTGTGTCTCGCATGCAAGAGCCTTAGTGCGTCGATCTAAACTTGCAACAGCGTGGCCATCAATGCGCATTCAATATGTAACGAATGATGTGTATTGGAAGTTGAAACGCCTCAGTTGTCTTTCCTTGATAACATATAAAACATCAAATCATCGTCACAATTCTCAAAAGCATACTTTATTGACAACAAAACAAGAGCCTCAGCAGTTCAGCACTTCATTGCTTCGACTCAAAAAGGAAATTTCATCTACTTTCGAAACAAAAATCTCAGCAGTTCAGCACTTCAATGCTTCGAATCAAAAAGGAAATTTTGGCTATTTTCGAAACAAGAGCCTCAGCAGTTCAGCTCTTCAATGCTTCGGCTCAAAAAGGAAATTTCAGCTACTTTCGAAACAAGAGTTTCAGTAGTTCAGCCTTTCAGCATTACGTAAGGATAGGACGCGAGAATCACGTTAACTTCGAACTCTAACCATGATATCAATAACTATATTTGGACTTGGAGGACTATTGTGTTGATCAAAAACCTAACTGTGATAGGAAATATGCTTTAAAGAAATTTGGACCGAGACAATAGTCCATACATGACATGAATAACGATACATGGACTTGAAGGACTATAGTTATGATCCACCACCTAGACTCCTACGTGGCTCAGCCAACCCACCGAAGTATCTTCCGTCGAATCCATGTGGATCCGACGTGGAGTGGGATTTACCAGAATCCAGACAATCCGACCCACAGAAGTCCACTCATATCGAAGCAACTCATGATGCTGACCCCTTCCGAAGCCCCTATGCTAAAGACAAATCTGAGGTCCAAACGAAACTTCTTTGCTGAAGTGGCAATGTCCAACAAAGTAGAATCCAACGCTCAACTAAGGCTGGTGATGATCCAAGTTTGAAGATCTTGAATTTATGAGATTCTTTTAGAATGATTCATTGGACTACTGCAATGAATAAAAGGTCAACATGTCAGTATAGGTTATGGGTTGGCTACCTCCTTTTTTGGACATTTAATGCGTCGTGGCTAGTGGAATCTGAATTGATACATTATATGTGATGCTTCGATAAAGGAGATGAAGCCACGTATCTTCCCATCCAATGGTTACTATTCCACATGTAATACTATAAATATCCCACATTTGTGTCATTTGGGGGTAATGAAAAAGTATTGAATACAAGCCATATATTATCTTTCTTTCTGGTTAATCTTGGGTTTTCAGTGTTTGAGGTGCATGTGATTGTAAATTTGACTCTTAGTTTGTCGTTTATTATCGTGTAAGTTAGCTCATACATTTCGTTGGAGCCCGAACATTTTTATCTCGTATTATAAAGCGTCTCCTACATCTAAACTGTGTTTTATTGTCGATTGAAAATCGTCATGAAAGAACGCGAGTGAGTCCGGTATCCATTGTCTACTATGCATAAAACGAGGTCAACAACATTGGAAGGTGGCATTAGACCCATTCCAATCACATTAGTTTCTTTTCTTGTTATGGGGGATGTATTTTAATTTTTCTTTCAGAATTCAAAAATTCTTAATAGGAGAAGAAGACAAATTATTCATTACCAATAATTCGTTCGATGGTACTTCATCGAAAAAGAGTCCGACTTGATAATAAGTGCACGGGATAATTTTGACACTATCATTGAATAACAGTTGAAGGTGTGATTTATAAACATCTTATCAATATTAAAAAATTAAAATTCCTTTATAATCCCATGCTAATTTGTTACAACGATGGCAGCCGCGAATCGTTATTAGATTACTTATTTTCGCTATTACTTTTCGAGTTCGAGAGATTATTACGGTAGAATTTATAATAGCATTCAAGGTTAAACGTGACTTTTAGAGAGTTACCAAAATACGAGATTCTTGTTTTATAATTTTTTTTTACAGTATTCTATGCCAAAAAAAAGACTGAAAATGATATACGGAAATATTATTTACAATAGGCCAATGAAAATGGTAACAAGACTTGAAGGAGGGGGATGAGCATACCGTGCACGTTAGTCTAGGTGGCAGGCAAAAGGGGGCGAATTAATCTACTCAAACAGGGAAAGAAAACAGACAGAGTTGATAGCTTTTGATTGGGCGATTTTTTTTCAAATTTTTCCATCTCCCAATGAATTATCGCCAAGTGTATCTGTTTGCTTTTTCTTGTTAATTTTTCCTGTCTATCTAGCATTGCTCAAAGGGGACATAACTAAGAACTTTCATGGTGGGTCCTATCTTACCGACGGTTGCGCACGAAAGGTTGACCCCACCCACACGTGCACACGTTGACTGGTACCATGAAGCTTTCTCGGTGATCCAACTAAAAAGGTTGGCTATAATTTTCTGTGATTACTGTAAATAAATGTCCTTAATGTACCAAACTGCCCTTGGGAGCCTTTCAAATGTTTTCGAACTAAAAAGATTCTTTCAACTTGTAAACTAGTTTCTATTTTAGACGTCAATCGAAAAAAATATTATATTCGAATTTGGTTAGACTAAAAATTTAATATAGCTTATTTAAATTTGTACTAAAATGACAAATAAACTGTAATCAATTATTTGAGTTTGTAGTAACGCGAAACCTAATTGAATTAATCGTAATCTTTGTTTGAGTGAGATGGATTTGGGAAAAAAAAGTGACGCACATAAATACTGCTAACTTTTTATGAAGACCAGACAGTCCACATGACCAATTAATCGAAAATTGATTGCAATGTATGATGTTTGTCGTGTGTTCATTTTGAAATCTGAATTCGCAAGTTGACTGTATAAAATATTGAACATATATTTCTTCACATGGTTCTCATTAAATTTGATAATTATTTCATAATTCATAATTTAAAGGGAAAATTGTAGTCACGGTATCAAATCTTTCACTTTTTTGTAGACTTTGCACAAACCCTTGTTTTGTGCGATCCACGATATCAAACCTTTAAACAATTCACACTGGAGGTCCGCATGGACGGTTTCCATCCAATTGACCATTAGTTGACCAAAAAAGTCAAAATTGACCCATTGTTAACTAATTTTCAAAGGTCAAAATTGTAACTTTCCCTTTTTCATATATAATTAAATCAAAAATAAAAATAAAAAAACCTATTATCTTCTCCAACCATCCCACCCCACCTCCCACCCCACCCAAAACCCAAAGTCGACAGCTCCATCTTCACTCTCACAAACCAAAGTCGTCTTCACTGCCGTCAGAGGTTCCTCCACAACAGTGTTAATCTCTTGGCGGTCCACAAACCAAACACAGATGCGGTCCTCCTCCTCTCTGCCCTAACTTCCTCCACCTCCTACACTCACTACAATAATATCACCACAAACACAGACATAGGGCAATCTCCAGTTGCTTCCCAGCTGGATCTAAACAGTTGCAGAGGTTTCCACCCCACCCTCTACTGTATCCTTCCACACATGCCCCATTGTCCTTCACCTCCACAGCCGCTTTTTTCAGAGTAGATTCCAATCAGACGTGAAATGAAATCAGGTGATAGCATGGTACATGAAATGGAAACAACAATCATCTTCTCCTTTTCGCTACCCTCTAAGTCTCGAATTTTGACCATGGAGTTCCTCCATGAATGTGATAGCAAACCTAGATTAAAATTCCAACCAAAGCCGTTACCGGAGAGTAGGCAGATTCCAATTCCATTTTCATTCTTGCATTAATTTACTTCAATTTTGAACCCATCAAATTCATTCCATTTCAGCCTGAAATTCTCGTTGAAATAAGTTAGAAAATCAATTGGAAATCAACAAAAATATTTAAGAGATAGCCAGAAGATGCTGTAAAATTTAGTGGATCTTTGGAGAAATCAATGAATGTTGCTGATTCATTGATGAATTTGGAGAAAAGTGAGGAGAATGATAATGGGTCTTCTGTACATTTGGAGAAAGATGGGGAAAGGGAGTGGAGTGTGGTGGATGAGGGTACTAGAGAAGTTAATGGTGAAGCATTCGGTGGGGAAGTCAAGCCTATGGGAGGCGATAGCTAAGGTAGCACATTGGTTGGTCATTCTGACGGCGGCGTGTGTCAGAATGAAGTGGAGGTTGTGGGTTGAGGGGGTTGGGGAAGAAGGGGATGGGGTGGGGTGGGGTTGGGGGTTGTAGTTTTGTTTTGTTTTTTTTGTTTTTATTTAATAGATGAAATGTATTATGTCAAAAATGTCTTTACCTTATTTGGAGAAAATTATTAGATTTTTAATTTATGGGTAACTAACGGTTTTTGGAGTCAAACTAACAGAAATCGTTATTTTGGACTTGGGCTGCGATTTTTTTAAAGCTATGTACCGTGAGTGACACAAAACAAAGGTTTGGGCAAAGTCTGCAAAAAAAAGTGAAAGGTTTAGTACCTCGACTGCAATTTTCCCTAATTTAAATGTGTTTCGGTTAAAGAGCCGACCATACAAGGTAGTAAAAGATAATAAACAAATGTCAATATGATGCAACTATAATTAAGAATAAATCAGAATCTAGTATGTTTAGGAAGTGTTTATACACGGTTTAAATCATAAATAAATATAAATGAGTGATAAATAGATAGATAATGTTTGTAAGACCTTGAAATGTATAGAAAAAAGTTAATCGAGTGTTTATAAACAGTTTGTAATAATCAACCAACACAAAATTAAAATCAGGATAAGATTGCAACGATATAATATGAAATCATAGTGTTATAAATACAACTACTCATTATTTTCCCAGCTAAACTCCAATAGTTTATGAGAAAGCCCTTCTAATACCTACTCGAACCATCTTTGATCATGTAAAACATAAAAATTAAGAAGGGACCATTTAACTAAGATTTTGAAAAGGCAAAAGTTGTTTCTAAGACTAAAAAGTTTTTTTTGAACATATTTGACTAATTTTCTAAAAATATTTTATCCTATTAAAAGAACTTTTTAAAAAAGCTAATATAAAGTAACTTTCTCAAAAAATTCTTCTACAAAAAAGTAGAGATATGTTAAATGGACTATAAAAATCGACAACGTTTCTTTATCCACAAAGGAAACACGATCTTTTTTATTAGTTCGCATGAATCGATCTAATGGTTAAAGCCCTTTTTGGTCATTTCACCAACTTAAAAATAATTAACTAAAATAAATCATAATTAGCACCGGATAATAATCGTCACATCATCACCAAATAATGACCATTTTTAAGTCATAGACGCGTTTGACCTCCGCACTAATGCTTACAGCCTATACGTACACTCATACACGTTTCTGTATCTATACACACAGACACGCAGTTTGTTCAATTTCTTCTCTCTTGCTGTGAATCTAGTGCAAATGTTTCTGTTAAATTTTATATATTTTCTTCGCTTTTCTGGTGAAAATTTCAGAACAAAAAATTTGGCTGAAAATTATCTGTCTAATTAACCGGAGATACTATGAGGAGAGGAGTTAATACAACCGATGTTCTGGAGACTATAAACGCCGCTGCTACTGCGATCTCATTGAATGAAAATCGCTTTCCTCAATCTTCGATTCAGGTATAATGTTTTAATAATTTCATTTGAATTTGAATTTGTCGTGGAATTCCGTCAGTTTACAGTTTAAAACGCGTATTTGTGTTAAGAGCCTCTCTATGATTTCGTTTGGTTTTTCTTGAATTCTGATAGCTTTATTGCGGAATTTTTGTATTTGTTAAATTTTCATTTGAGAATTGAGACCTGGTGCTTGATTTTTGTATTTGGATTTTATACTTCGTTTGATGTTTGATCAGAAGCCTTCAAAAAAAAAAAAAAGGAGGATCATAAATTAGATTAATTGGACATGAACTTGATTGCAATTGCGGTTTTGAGCACTCTTAATAGTGTCCTGTAAAGTTTAGTTTGCTTTTTTACGCGCACTAAGGGATTGTAATAATGGAATTTGGGTGGATAGAAAATGAATTTCAGGTAATTGAATTGTTTAGAACTTGTTTTACCGAGAATTGTCAATTAATTGTGTTTGATTCGTATAATTTTTCACCTGAAAAATATTGAAATTTTAGATATTTTGATGTTCGTTTGACTTTATTTTCCACGAAAATTGTTCATTAAAGGGATAGAATTTGTTACAATTGGAGATAAAATTTGTTTCCATTCTCAAAAAAAAAAAAAATTTTTTTAAAAAAAGAAAAGAAAATGTTGCCTAGAAAAAGCTTTTCCCTCAAAAATCAAGAAAAATGACCAAAAAGGGGGTTGGGTGGAAAACCATTTGTCAAGAAAATTTTGCCTATCAAACAAGCAAAATAGTGGAAAATGGAAAACCAGTTCCTAGTTCTATGAAAAAGAAATACTATCAAACAGGGCCTAAAGGTAATTTGGTGAGTTTTTTAGAAATTAATGATGGGACCGAGTTATATGGAATTTAATTTATATAATCAGAAAGTTACTTGGCTAAGCTTTTAAGTGTTCAAAAGTAGTGCGTTTCAGGGAATGTTTGGTTAAAAAGTTGTTGGTGCTAAGGAATGTGTGGTTAAAAATGATTTTTTACTCATTAGCCCTTAAAAGCTTTGCCAAACATACACTTGATCTGGTAAAAATAATGTAAAGGCGAGAAATATAGGCTGATAACGTCGTCAAGTCATCTAATCTGTGGTGTTCATTACTAGTTTCAGTTACTTATAATATATAAAATGGGGCATGATTATATATGCTAAAAAGAATGTAAAGGGAAGCAATATTGGATGATCATGATGTAACTAACCATCTTATCCATAGTGTTGTAAAGTAATCAGTGGTGTTCGTGCCAGCTTCTTTTACTAAAATGAGGCTTGATTATAGATATGACATTTATGATAAAGTATATATAATTTTTTATTGGTCGAATTTGCGGAAGATGTAATCAAACCATCTGAATACAATGCTGTATAATTAGCAATTTATGTTTCCCTTTACACAATCTTTTCACATTTAATGTTACTGCTTCTATTAAATAGCTTGTATACAAAGATTCTGGAAAAGTATTTTATGTTACCTGGAGGCTCGACCGTTTTGTGCACTATGGTGCCAACATGTTGAGATTAAGAAAAAAACAGAATTTATGGCAACGATGTTCTTGCATCAGTGTTATTTGTTTTCAATGAGGAATAGTTTCACGTGTCATTGTTCTTTTGACTACTAAATTTCCATGTTATCTTTTAATCGCATTACATCATGTGGAAGTATCTTGAGGTGAATGTATAATCCATCCATTGGTGCTCGTATTTATTTTTACTTCTTGTTTATGTTTAACATCAATTATACACCAGAGATATCTTAATGTGCTTCTAAGTAAAATGCTTATGTGATCGACATTGCAGAAAAGAAGGTGGGGAAGTTGCTGGAGCCTTTATTGGTGTTTCGGATCTCACAAAAATAACAAGCGAATTGGACATGCCATTCTTGTTCCCCAAACTCCAGACACAGGAGTAGATGCTCTCCGAGATGAAAATCCAACTCAACCAACTTCAATTGTAATTCCTTTCATTGCACCTCCTTCCTCCCCTGCGTCTTTCTTTCCATCAGAACCTCCTTCGGCAACTCAATCGCCAACTCGCCTACCATCGCACACATCTATATCTGCAAGCATGTATTCCCCCAGTGGGCCTGCATCAATTTTTGCTATTGGTCCTTACGCATATGAAACCCAATTAGTCTCTCCACCGGTCTTCTCAACCATCACTACAGAACCATCAACTGCTCCATTTACTCCTCCTGGAGAATATGTCCACCTTACTACACCTTCATCTCCCGAGGTGCCATTTGCTCGTCTTCTTGAACCCAACCTCCAAAATCGTGAAGCTGGTGAGAGATACCCTATATTTCATTATGAATTTCAGTCTTATCAACTTCAACCTGGAAGTCCAGTGAGCCATTTGATCTCACCTAGTTCAGGCAACTCATCGCCTTTTCTCGACCGCGAGTTTGCTCAGGGGCACCCCTTTTTCCTCGAGTTTGGAACTGGCGACCCTTCCAAGCTTTTTAACTTGGACAAGCTGGTGCTTCACGAAGGGGAATCACACCAGGGATCTGGTACGTTGACTCCGGATGCTGTGGCACCTAGATCTCATGGTAGTTTCCTTTTAAATCGTCAGGATTCGGATGTCGGTCCACTTCCAGATATATGTAAAGGATTGCGAAATGATGAGACTGTGGTCAATCATAGAGTTTCTTTTGAGATAATCTCAGAAGAAGTTATAAGATGCGTGGAAAAGAAGACAGCAGCTTTGCCCGAAGCCGTGGTGGAACCTGTGGAAAATGTGGAAGTTACGGGAGAGAAAAACCCTATTGAAATTCTACACGAGTCCTGTACTGGGGAAATCTCCAACACCACATCCGTGAAATCTCGTACAGATGGTGATGATGAACAACAGCGGCATCAAAAACGTCGAACTATCACTCTTGGGTCTACCAAAGAATTCAACTTTGACAATATCGATAGTGGAAATTCCATTGAGCATAAAATTGGCTCCGATTGGTGGGCAAATGAGAAGATACTTGGAGAAGAGGGAGGACCGTGTGACAACTGGTCTTTCCCGGTTGTACAGACAGGTGCTATCTAATTGTCTGATGGTACTCGACAAAGAAGTTAAAATATTATAAACTTTAGCGACCCATACTACGAACCAATCGTGCATTGGATGTAAATGGGGTTTAGGTAGTCATGTTTTGCAGGACTGACTCTTACACGAAGACTTTTTTGGAGCACTTCCTAACCAGAAAAAGGACACACAGGATGTATTCTTAACATAGCGATGGTATCAAGACGAAAACTGTCTTGACAGCATCTAGAGCATGTTTGGTTAGGATTAAAATTCAATTAAAATTGAAAATATAGCCGTTATTGGTCTCACTCGTCTAATAAAAGTCAACAATGACGGCTAATTTTTCCATTTTAATCCTATTTTAATCCCTACCGAACACGCTCTTAATATATTTTATTTATGTTTGGTATGATGTATTTAATAGAACTTTAGAATGTCCCTTAGAAGTATGTATGTTGTATATATACTATTGTTGTGAATGTGTTCTTGTTTACTGTCAATAGTTGATCGACCTTTATTCGAAAGAAAAAAGGTAAAAATTACACTTGACTTTAGGCCTTGGCATTTTAATCGGAACCAAACCTCTCAATCTTAGTTTTTGAACCAAAATCATGGGTACCCAAATGGAATCAAGTTTTACACAATTTTTTATTTATAAATAATAAAAGAAAACACACACTCAAAACCTAAAAACCCTAATTTGAGAAATGCTACATATATTAATTTAGGTAGTAATTTGTCTAAAACTTTAGACTCTAACCGTAAGAAATTAAGAATAACTCCTACTTTTATTTTTTTTGCCTCTCTCGTGTTTCAAAGGTTTGTAAATGTTAATTTGTGCAATTTGAGCTTTCTATGAATCAAAAAGTTCAAGTTAGGAAACCAAAAACCCTAATTTGGGTAGTAATTTGTCTAAAACTTTAGACAACCATAAGAAATTAAGAATGACTCCTACTTTTTTTTTGCCTCTCGCGTGTTTCAAAGGTTTGTAAATGTTAATCTTTACAGTTTGAGCTTTCTATGAATCAAAAAGTTCAAGTTAGGTTGTGGTGTAAATTAGATGGAAAAAAGTTCAATCTTTGTCAAACTCACTCTCTATAATTAAATGAATTAAAAAATCTCAATTTCCAATACTCCATATATTGACCTAATTAAATTCTATCTTGATCTCATAAAAATAGGCTTGTTTCTATTTTCAGAAAGATTTAAAAAAAGGTAATTAATTTGGTTAGAAATATAAAAAAAAAATTTACATTTTTTTCTAATATACCCCTACATTAAATAAGAAAACTAAAAAATATTTACAATTTCAATGAGAAAAATGACCTATAATTTGGCTCGCATGAAAAAAGAAAACCAAACATGTCTTTATGGAATGGAAGTAGTAGTATATTACAAAAAAAATGGAGGAAAATAATATAATAATTTAGAGAAAAGCTAATGAAAATAAAATATATGAAAAAAATAATAAATACGTATTGGGAGCATCAAAATTAAGTGTTAAAGATAGAATGAATTTTCGTGCCTTCCAGCCAAGTGGTTGAACATTTGTAGCTTATCACAAGATAAGATGATTGGCATTAGAAAGTATCCACGAGTGGAGATTGCCCCAAGAAAAATGAGTCGAGTTGGTGGTTATTAAACATAAAAATTAATATATAGAATTCTATAATAACCCTAAAAAATGAGTCCTAAATACCATAGTTATAAAAATCGGCACAACCCATCCGGTCGAATCGAAAAACCGGTGACCCTCTAAGGTAAATAATGGATTTCTCACCACTGGAACACAAAGTACTTTAATATTATTTATATGAAATAACTTATATGTATCTAATGAATCATTTATAGGTTATTTACAAATATTTTGAAAAAAAACTTTGGTCCAACCTTTTATTTTATTTTATAGACCTAAATAATTAGGGAGAAATAATTTTAAAACTTTATTGTTGCCTAAAATTCTAATTTTTTTTTTTTGTAGATTTTTATACAATTACCCACCGGCCTAATTACTGACTCGCCAGTTCGACCAATACCTTATCCAAACTTGTCCAATGTGATTCTTAACTAAATCAATCATAGAATAACCTAAATATAATAATAAATAAATAAGAATCAAGCTCGAATAAATACAAAATGCAATTATCAGTTTGTCCTCTCTCTCTCTCTCTTCCCCTTCTCCTATTCCTTGATTTTCACACACAAATATATTTGGGAGATGCTAGAGGTACATTACCTCTTACATCGGGGATCGACCCTCCCTCCAATGAGGAGACGCCGGGTGTCCATTATGGACACAGTGATGTACCACTAGAATAATCCAATATATTTTCTCCCAATGATTTTCCACACATACAATTAAATTTTAACTCTCTTCCTCTCAATTGATTTATTTCATTTTAGAGTTCATAAAATACACAAGCAATCATTTTGAACGTGAAATTTTAACTTGAATGTCTATTCATCTAAAAGGCTTTTGATTTAATTGCCACTAAACGGCAATATATGCATTGGAAATGCTCTAAGGCTCGAAACATGCTCGAGTCCAGATTTTGATCAATGGAATTGGATTTAGATGAATGATCCCCACTTTTCTTTACGTAAAACTCAATAGGCAAAGCTCATTCACCCTCGTGATCTAGGACAAATTTCACGGTCAAATCAACAAGAACTAGAAAGTTATTTACATATTACATATTTTCTCGTTTTCATGCGCGCTTTTAGCATAAGCATTCTCCGTCTCACTTTACAAAAAATTTTCAATTCCGTATTATTACCAGAAGGTCCAAAACTCATCAAGCAACAAAATTTTCTTCTTTTCCTATGAAGACCGACACGATATCCTTCCTAAGACTTCTTGCTCTTTTAACACAGTTTTTGTATCAGGGAGGAGAAGAAAAGAGAAGCATCTTTGAAGCCCACAACGAAAAGTAAATCGAAAAATAAATATTTAAATTCAGTATATTATTTTTTCACAAGGCGAAGAGAAAAGGCAAAAGAAGGCGACAAAGAACCATTTTGAAACTCACAACCACAAAATAGGGTCACAGAATATGAAACTACTCGGATTTTGTCAAACTCAAGCTGAATTCCCACAATTTCTTCGCCAATTCTGCATCACCGGCCAGTGAACTTGGTTTACCTATATTACTGTCGACAAAATACTCGCCACTCACTCCCTTCACCTGTGGATGCAATGCAACATAGCATGTCGTAGCTGCTCCCTAGAACAAATAAAGAATGAGTTCGATGAGAATAAAGTTCATAGAATCTTTGTTATAAACAAGCTGGTTCCTTTTGTTTCGTGTATTACATCTGTATACCCTGTTTGATGAGGATTAAAATCAGATTTTTAGTGAATTTTGATAAAAGTTAATGAAATATGTGGTTGAAAAGAAAAGTTGTGGTCCCATGAAATATGTTATTAAAATTAATTGTTGATTTTGACTTCAATTAAAATATGAATCTTAATCCTTACGAAACAAAGGCTATTACTTTCAGTGTAACAAGATCAAATTTTGGAGAACACATGTTTGTAAAAGAATGTAAAGTCACTGATATGTTTTTGAGGAAAATAAGCTAAAAGTTCGTGTTTTATGCTCTCCAGTACGACATACCAAACATGACTTGAAAGGTCATACATACCTGTGGAATACTTTTAAGCACGTACTTTCCAATCCAGCTGGCCACACCTGTGAAAATAAAATGTCAAAACACATCGGCCAGATGACTTTTTATGCGCTTGGGTATATGCGCCAAAATTACTTTCATGGTGGAGCAGGTTTCAGAATTCACAACTAGAGAAAACTTAGAATCTACATTTCGTGCATCTTTTCAATTTTTCAAGAATTGGAGTTTGAATCTTTTTACTCCTTCAACTTGAAATTATCTAATGCTATACAGCAAAATAATGCAACAGACAATCCTTCAAAGGTCATCACCTATTAATTCTGATTCTATCCATGTTTTTCATTTAGCAGAATCAAGGTATGTTTGGGTAAGCTTAAAAGAAAAAGAAAGATACTTTTAAGTGATTTTCATGTTCCTAGGCATGTTTGAATATATTACTTTTTTCTTACTTCTAAGCAAAAAAAGTTACTTATTTTGAAAGTAACTCGTAACCGACCGTCAAAATAAGTAAATCGCTTAATTCTGGTTGACCAATAAACCAAATTTTTTATTTTAAAACTTAAACTTCTAAGCTTAGCGAAACATGCTCAAAGAAGTTGGTCAATACGAACAACCAAAAGCCTCAGGCATTTTAGGTTCTTGCGCCTTTATTAAGGTGATAAAATGCATGCACTCCTCAGAATTACACAAGACTTTAACTTTGAAAAATGTCCACTGGAAGCAAAATTAAGGAGTGGACCACCAAGGATGAAAATAAAAATCTAAAACAAAAGCAACTTCTAAAAACAACACAAACATGTTTGACAAAAAAAAAAAAATGAAAAAAATTAACTTAAAAGTAAGATGCTCTATTAATAAAATGGTCAGGATGGCCAGAACTTTACCGTCAATGAAACTGTGATGGCGCAGAAGGTTAGTGGCAATTGCTCCGGGATGAAGTGAATTAGCAGTCATATCAACTCCTCCTTCCTGTTGTAACAGAAATCAAATGTTACACTTCTACAAGCGTAGAATATTTAGTACACCGATACATCAAATGATAAGCAGGTACTTCTATCAATGAGATGCTGCTTATCATAAAATGAGAAATTTCACCAATGTCGGAAAAGATTATGGTAGTTTCAAGACATTAACATCTCGGATTCTCTTACAAAATCTAACTACATAGTTAAAAAACCTAAAGCTGCTGCTATGCCCAGCCTATGAGTAGTAATAGCATGCTAAACTTAAAAAGTTGACTTATAAGTAGATTAAAAAAATTTCAAATAAATATTTTTTTCATTGGTCAATTTTGAGAATAAGTTACTTCTTTGAATATAAAGGTAAGAAATACTTTCACAATAAGTAGCTCATCTTATTTAAAGTAATAAAAGAAAAGTAAATTATTCAAACATGTTTTAATAAAATTTCTCTGGTGCTTAAAACCATCTTATTTAGCAAATTTCCTTAGTTTTAAAAAAACTCGCTGTATTTAATACATCAAAAGAAAACCATAAACGTAGAAAATTCAAAATGTATTTTGTTAATCTTCTCCAAAACTTGGAAGATACCTTCAAGTTTACTAAAAAGGGGATTTTTAAGAAACACTTGCAAATAATGCGTTGCAAAACACGTGAATAAACACAAACTATTTCATGATATAATATTGTACAATTTCTAAATTTTAAGTCACGAAGATTACCTTCAGGCGCCTTGAAAGCTCTTTAGCATGCAATATATTAGCTAATTTTGACTGTCCATAAGCGAGAATGCTGTAGTAACTGGAAAGAAATAATACAAGACAATAAGTGACTTCCCATTAGCAAAATGAAACAAAATTAGTCGAAAGATTTTAGCACGGCCATATATCATTGAATACCAGAGGTCAGCTAATGACTTTCCATTAGCAAAATGCACAACAAATCCAAGAAAGAGAGCATCATAGAACAATATACGCAGTATGAAATTCAACTTCCGCACCATTCTAAATCCTAACCTACCCTAATTGTTCTATCTTGCTTAGATTTCCTCCTCTCATGATTTATGTGATAAACTAATTTTCAAAACTTTAATGTCCATACTTTTAATTGACTGTAACTGTTTGAGTTCCCATTCATAAAGACATAGAATATAAGATAAATTAATGTTTTATTGTATTCCTTATTCTTTTGATTATATACTGGACATTGCATGGGACTATTATCAGTTGATTTAATGACATGACTTAATCTTGAGAAAAGCAAGATAGAAGTTTAATCACTACTTACCTTGATCTATCATTGATTTTATCAAAACGAATTCCTTCACGATAAGCAAACCGATGACCCTCTGATGCAACAATGACAATCCTTCCTTCTTTCTGGCTCTCATGAGCAGTTTTTTTCATGTTGTCCAATAAAAGATTTGTTAGAAGAAAGTGCCCTGCACTAGAAAGTAATTTTTTTTCTTATTAGCGCAGGCGTTTTTGAAGTTGAGCTCATTAAAGTGGAAACATCTTAAACACATTGGCTTGTTTGGTAGGTTTGGATTCTACGGCATTAAAGAATATAACAAAATTAAAATCTTGTCTATAGCGCTGTCAAGATCAAATACCGCATGCCGAAGATGCCCATATTGATTCACAAGAAGAAAGCAAAGAAGGAGCTTAGAAGATTATTTTTTACTAAATAACAGGAGGTAAATAAGAGTTTTAAGAGAGTTTCAGATATTCGATGATAGCAATGCATATTGCAAACATATGTCAGATAAGAGTTACTTCAAATAAGAGAAAAATAGCATATTCAAACAAGTTTGAAGTGACCACCTCCCCTCAAAAAAGGAAAAAGGAAAAACAAAAAGAAACTATAGTCCAGATCTACAACACAAGATTTCAAACTTTCAAAAACATGGAGAAAACTAATAGAAAAAGCACCTAGATGATTAGTTGCAAATTGCAATTCGATCTTGTCTTCAGATTCCATGAAAGGTGGAGCCATAACCCCTGCATTATTTCTTTCAAGCAACCAAGGATGTAAGTTTTTGTGAACAGGTAACTATAAGAAATAGCGTGCATCAATGGCATGCGCTGTTTAGATACTAGTATGTAAATCAATGAATAATCTCACATGAGGATGTTCAAAGGAAGACCCGAGCAGTTATATTCTGATGCAAAATTCCTAACGGAAGACATGGAACTAAGATCAAGTTCCATAATATCAATTTTAGCATCCGGAATTTCCTTAATTATAGCTTCTTTAACTTTTCTACCACTGTCCATATTGCGTACTGCCATGATTACATGAACACCACGCAAGGCAAGGACCCGGGTAGTCTCTGTTCCAATACCACTGGATGCTCCTGAAATATACAGAAGATAAACACCAAAAGTCAGGAAACGTACATTTTGGATTCTTTCTTCAAGCCATAAGAGCAGAAATATTTCCAATTCTACGAATTTTGTAATTATGAAAAGGAAAAAACAAAATAATTGCATCATATTAACCACGCATGAATGCAAAGGATGATTAAAAAACTTACAAACAACTATGTCTAAGATCAAGAAGCACTACTACTATATTTAAGTTTTCAAAGCTGGCGGCAAGAGGGATAATTATAAAACAAATGATGGTGAGGATGAATGGACAGAATTAGATAAATAATAGTTACCTAGCTACCTCAATCAAGGCAAATATAATCTTGTCAACTTCAAAATAGCTGGAAGCAATGTCATAGTGTAGATCTTGAAGGAGAAAAAGAAAAAGATAAACAGGTCACTGAACACGCTAATACTAAGAAATCTTTCGGCAGTATATTCGGAAACAAGCATGGACAAAAAATTAGAGCACGTTTGTCTAAGCTTAGAAGTAATTTATTAAACTTTTCTGCCAAATATGTTTGGTTTTTTTTAGAAGTTACTTTCATAGAAGTCTTTACTCACTTTCCGAAAAAGTACTTTTACGTCCCCCATTCTTTCAAAATTCTTTTTTTTACATACTCATTTCCAACGACACATTCACACAATAAAATATTATACACATAAACCCAAAACTTATCCCTACTTTTTAACCACACATTCTCCAAAAATTCACTATTCAAAGCAATATTTTTCCAAAAAAAATGCCACCAAACAGGGGCTTATTCTTTATAAGCTTCTGCCAAACATGCTCTTAGTCTCACATTTTAGGTTTTCGTATTCCAAGTTCAAGCAATAGACAGAGCAACCAAATGGAGTTGAAATGACCATGCATATCTAAATGCATTATCTGATACCGAGTCATTTGTGAATCTTATAGTACTCGAATAATTTAAACCATATTCGCAATTACTTAAAACAAGTTGGAATTATAGGAAGCTGTTAATTTTGTGGCTCAAAATCAGCCACATGCAAAACTTGGGGAGCAAGAATTGTACAAGCTGCCCATATCTTGCAAAATCTGCAAACTTGGGCCCAAGAATTTGTGCGCCATAAAAACATGTCTTGCTTCCCATTTACATAGCCAGATGAGTGAAGAGGAGGTTGACAGAAGATTGGCGATGCAAGAGTAGGAGCTTGTGAGTTTAAACTTATTTTGACCTTGATGCCGATTGCAACAACAAAAAAAAAAAAACAATTTGAGAAGAAGAGAGAATAGGAGAAGAGAAATGGGAGGAAGATTGTATTTTATTCAATAATCAAGTGTCTTATTACAATCAACACACCTCTTTATATAAGCTAAAAACACGACTAATAAGGAAATCACTACTATGATCTTCCTTTTACAAAATCAATTTACCAAAAAATGAGAAAAGTGCAATAATGGAAAATTCTATTGTAATTGATGTTAATTTTGTTATGCCTCGAATATACTTTCCAATTTGCATCAGATCTCCATTACAGTCTTCCCCCCTTCGTGGACATAGGCAAAATTACCCATACTATGTAAATTGTATATTACACTTTTACTAATATTTTTCCGCTATCATAATTCTTTCATTCATTGTTTTAATAAATGATTTGTTTGACAATTCGTACAGACTGAACTAGGAGAAAAAAAATGGATTTTATGCAATCCGCAGTTCATTCAAGACTCATCAAATACCATTTCCAGAAACTAATAATCAAGAAACAAGCTTTGTAATCATAAACCTATTTTCTAAACCAAGAAAAAACAATCAGATCACTAATCAAGACACAAAAACGAATAAACAAAAATATTGACTAATCAAAACCCCCACAAAATCGAATAATCAAAGCAGAAAGTTGATATTATATAATCAAACAGGAACATCAAAGATGATCAATATAAAATATTTGAAAAAAAAAATAGCCAAGTGCTAAAAAGGACCTGTGATAATGGCAGTCAGGCCGGAGCCATCAATTCCTTGTGTAACTTCCTCAGCTGCTGTGGATGATGAGAATCCTGACGGCCCCTTTCTTCCAAAAATCCACATTTTTTTGTTATTGGATCGAATTCTCTACCCTTTTCTATCGATTTGTGAAACAAAACAATATGATTTTGAATCAGTATCACAGAACTCTATGTATAGTGTGTGTGTGTGTGTGTGTTTTATTCTATTCGATGGTCGCTTGTTTCTTGTCGTGTCCAATAGTGCTCCGAAGTGGGGACAGTTTACAGTTTTATAATGGAAATATTGCACCAGTGGTCCTCATTTTATCAACGTTGTTACATTTCTTTTATGACACTTTTTTTATAACCGGCAAGACACCTCGAAAGATTCCTCTTCAACGAAGCTGAAAGGCAGCAAGCGAAAGTAAGAAGAAGCAAAAGGTTCACCAGAAGGTCACGACCTATTCTCATATCGAGACTGACTATATGCTGCACATGGACAAATGATCAAAACGTGATTGTTAATTGAAATTAGTCATCGGACTACCACTAAAGAGGTAGCCATCAGCACAATGCAAAAATTACCAAACTACCCCAACACTTGAAGGAAAATCTATAAATACCATCTCTCCATTTGAAGAAGGCATACAATTCAAGTATCTCCCTCTCAAATAATTATTTATCCTCTTGTTCTAGTTTAAGTATCTAGGCTAGTAAATTTAGAAGGTGAAGCTCATACGCAGATGAAAGGATTTGTTAATTGTAATCACGTTGAACTTCGATTGTAATCGTTTATCAATAAAATCAATCGTTCCAATTTTTACCGTCAACAAAAACGTTATCCTAACCTATTAATTTCGTAGCATCGTTAATATTTTATTGAAATGATTACGTCTTTGTACCCATTAAGAAGGTATAAGGTACGAATACAATTCTCTTATGTTACAGTTGTTAAGAATTATATGAAGATTGAGAATGTTTATAACTCTATTGTGCATTGTACACATGGATTAATAATTACTGAAATCGAGAACAACCAAAAAATAGTTGATATATTATCAAATTTTCCAATGCTAATTTAGAATTTTGATTGGGATTATAAAACATCAAATTCATTTAAATGTCATGTTGCTTAAGGGCGACACGATATAGGATGCTCTTTGACTCAGCCAGATGTGCTCAAGTGTCGAGCTGCTTATACTGCTAAATGTCATGTTGAGTGCTTATAAGTTGTAAATTTTATAAAATATGTAAATAATAAGCGAGTAGTAAGATTTTATGAAATGTGTGGATAAAACGTATATTTGACCAACTTAAAATAAAATTTAAGCTTTGTCACATTGAGATTGTGTACCGAAATACCAATATATCCAAATTACCCTACACATCAATATATCGATTAAAAATTACATTAATATGTATAATTTTAAGATTCCTTTTGAAAGGTCTTAAAACATGTTTTTATCTTAATATTTACTTCTTCTTTTTTCTTTCTTTCTTTCTTTCTTTCTTTTTTTTTATCTTTTTTAAGTATGAAATTTCACATTGATGTATAAAGGTAATAAGGTATATTATAGAACAAATGATATGATATGCTCCAAAATCATTCCAATTTAATTACAAATAGATTCAATGAATTTTATGGGATGAAAATAAATTATTTATGACTAATTTATTTTAGTCAAATAAATATATAGTATTTATATAATACTAAAACAAAGCACTTATACTTATATTATCAAAACAATCAATTTAGTCCATGCTTGTACCTCATTCTCTAAAAATTCATTTTTCTCCAAACTCATTTTCAAATATCGATAAAATAATTTTGTTTCATACATTCTTCAAAAAAAAAAAAAAATTGACTCAAACGTAACCTTATCATTTAAGTCACTTTTTGAACTGATAATCAAACAGTCATCATCATTTTACTAAAAGCTCTACGTGAAAAGGCTCTACTAGCAAAAGCTCTACTAACCACAACCGTGCCAAACGAGCCTTAATTATCGACTGCTGCATGTAACATTCTTATGTTTCGGTATACATTCATCATTTTTTGCCAAAGATGCACATTTGCCCCTATTCATTAAATATACATAGTTAGTATGTTTGGCATGCTGTTGCGGATTACAAATCACACTAACAAGCTTTGCCATGACTATATACTGCTGCTGATTTTCACCAGAACATTAATATGAACTGTGTAATGCTATCACTAAGATCATATGGTTAAACTGTGAAATTTTCTTATCTTATCAAAGTGATTCTTGAGTAGATTCAAGACGAACATGCGGGCACGCCCTTTCTGGTTCCCCTATCGTCCACAGAATCTTAAGATCGCATCGTTTTTTCCCCAGTGCCAGAAACGTGCCTACGTCAAAATAACAGAGTGCTATCAGCCATCAGGTAAATAACAAGCGCAGATTTGATTCCTCTTTAATAGGGTTGTAAAAATTACCAAGAGTAAAAGGGACAATGTAAAGCAGAGCAGGTTGGCCATGGCCATCCATCAAGTTCAACGCTACGTATGTGATAAGAAGACCTGCCATATATTACATAAAGTTAATATCCAAAAGTGGCGTTCGAGAATTTTTCTACTTATTTTAACAATTTTGGCAACCACAGAATGTGTTATGAAGAAATAGAAAATCATTAAGTTCTAGTGGATCGGGTAATTTTTTTATTTTGTTTACCTAATCCATAAGCAAACATTGACCACAAGAAGTATCCCGCACGGAGACTCTAGTTTGCTAGCCAGTCAAACCTGCAAGCAATGACATACGTTATTAAGAGCATGTTATAGCAAGATGCAGGCAACTTTGCTCAAGACTTTGGCATTGGCTCATAGCCAGTGCAGGCTTGAGTAAATGAGGGTGGTTGGGGTAAGTTGACCAGTATAGAACTTTGTCAAATCTCATGACATGGATCAAAGTTACAAGTATAAGGAGCACATAATGACAATTGCAAGAATCGACTAGACCAAAAAGATTTGCAAATTCTTCGAAGGATTAAGAACTCAAACCTAAGTGAGAATGCGACTAGAAGCCCTGGTAAGAGGATGTCACCAAAGCCTATGATACTGTAACCACCCCATGGATCAAACAAGCGCTGAATTTTCAGAAGCATCGGGATACCATCCTCTCCACTTCTATCACCACGAGCTACCTGAGAGGACACAAACAGTCGAAATGACTCTCATCCTCATGAAAACAATTTTATGTGTATGAGCATTAAATTTCGAAATTCGATGATTACCCACCACAATCATCACGCTTTCATGGAACAGTTTCTTGGAAACGAACACCCAAAAGATGTCATATATGAAAGCACAACTTAAGAGAACAGTGCCCACCTGAAAAGCAAAAGGGAAGGATGATTAAATTGATGTGTACATCTTAATAGAAACAGGATAGCCGTGTGTTAGGGATAAAAATTTCGCAGACCAAATCTCCAGATATTAGAGAATGTGTTGGTATAACTGCATTGCTATAGACAAGCTCTATAAGCAAGAGAGGCTCCATCCATATAAAGGATAAAATGTGTCTTTATTCTCATAGATAAATAAAATTCAAATATGGCTGTTCAAACAATTCAATCACATGGAACAACTCTATAAATTAAACGAAGAAATAAATCAAGATTTTGTAAATGTCATAAAGTTCATATCTAATACATAAGAGCAATATGGCAGCCATAAATATGTGACAGTTGAAGATTCTTAATGATGAAGAGAACAATCAAGAAAAGTTCCATGTAAGTCATACAAATGGCCGTCATCATAAAATACTGATAAGCTGACTGATTACCTTGAGATTAGGGATTCGCACTATCTGAAGAACAGTAATTATCAGCGCAATTCCCTGAATGATAAGAAAGAAACCAGAGCAACCTTTTCGTTCAGGGAAGCATAACTCATGATAAATTGTAATTCAAA